CTTTCACTCCTACTTGCAGGATTGTTGGGACCAACAAACTTTTTTTTTGGGTATATTTGTTGAGCCCCTAAACTTGAAGAAGAGCCCTACCGCAATCTGAAGGCAGGGAACTTCTTATCCGCCTTCAATTTCACCCCGGATGAGCCGTCGCCTACTCAGTGGTCAAGTCAGAGAAGCTTGACACTTTCAAGGATATTGCTCCATTTCCTCAGGCCTGTTCGGCTCTATGGTGGCTACGCATCTTCCAACTTCAAGGCACGGCTCGTGCTGAACAGGCTTCGTTGAACGGCACACGTTCCCCGTGGAACATGCTTGCGACAATGCCTTTGACTCCATCCTTGCGACCATGTCACTTTTTGGGGATGTCCACCACGGACTGGTGTCTATCTTACATCTAGCCACCTGTCCGTGATTTGACCACTACGTATGCTCTTCAGTTTCCTTTTCCGCATGAAAGCCACGAACGCCGGTAAGCCGAACGGGACCTCGAACCGCTCGACCGGTCGGACCTGAGTTGTCGGCAGAGGCTCCGGCGGCCGGCAGTCCGAAAAGCATCAAAGAACTACAACATGACACAACGGGATGCAGTGCGATACAAACATGAGTTGTGCAAGTTCTGCAAGTTCTGCAACAAGAGAGAGTTATATACAACAGTGTGAGGCAGTGATTCGATTTGGGGAGCACGTTGAGTCAAGAACCAGGTTTGCAGGTTCAGCAGTAGCTTGCCAGGCAGTTGGTCGGAAAGCTGGCGAAGGTCCAGCAATGCCGACAGACGCAACGAATCTGGAGTATGCTGAGTCTGAGATTGTGAGATCACACGCTTGCACCAGGTGAAAGACAGACCCTTCTCTTGAAGGTCAACTATGGTGGCCTCAACAAAGAGGACATGTGAACTGTTTTGAACTCATGGTTTTGATATTGCTTTCATATTATGTTTTCGAAGCATTCAGCATCCACGCAGTCGTCATGAGCTTCCTTTCAGTGAATACGAACACGACGGACAAATCACAGGACATTGAGCACCAGCTGTTCGTGATGAACCATTTGAGGAAAGGTTGGACACCGGCTGAAACGTGTATTCTGTTGCATTTTTGGTGGGACCCTTGCACACCTGGTCTGTTTTGGCAACACTCCATGGCCCCATGCGAGTCCTTTGGTCGCCGTTCCAGGACTGTTGAATTCCCGACGAACTATCCACACCCTTCTGCTTCTGGCTCCCTGATGGTGGAACAGATTGGAAGGAGCAGTCGATGGACAAGACCAGAGGATTGTAGAGACTAATGTACAAAAGCATCTCCGAGCAATTGAGATTTCTCCATCGGAATCCTTGAGCTCCTGGGAAGCTGGGAAGCCCTTTTGCCTCTCGCAAGCGAAGTCACTTTTACTACTAGCTTCTAGCTACTAGTAGCCATGGCCTCCAACCTACTTGCGATGGCCTCCACCTAATAGCTTCTTGTTTAACTTTGCATATATTTGCGGATTCTCAGGAGTGCAATTCTTTTGGACTTTATTCAGGGCAAGCCGGGGGACAAAGTCTTAGCTGATGACGAGGCACCGGGTGGGCACGGCACGATTGGTACCGTGGAAGTCGTTTGAGTTGCGGAAGCACTTGGCCTGAAACAACACGATCGAACATGTCCCCATGCTAAGTCCCAGTTGCCCCACCCCAAAAAATTCCATCCATAGTCCGAATCTCCATGGACCACCTCCATGGACCCTTTTTTAACATAGAGCCACGTCGTTGGACCCACTTCGTGAAACGCCCTCGGAGGCCAAGGCGCCGAAGCTCATCAGTGAGCTCTCGGCTGCGTTGGCAAAGCTTCATCAGGCGGACATGAGATCCGTGTCACGAGATTTGTGATTGTTCCGCACAAGATCCACGGGAAGGCACGTCTAGGTGCAGGTTGCTCTTTAGGTATAGCCTAATGATGGCTATAGTAGGCCTCTAAGTAGGCATCAAATCCAGCAAGCACCATTGCGTAAGAAAGTTGAACTCCAAATCGATCATGCAGACAAACATGCGGCGTCGGCGTCGCTTGTACCCGCAAAAACAGGATCCCTGGAAATTACTTATGAAATTGGTTGGACGGTGTAGCCTTAGCCTGATCTAACACACACACACACACATTTTGCTGGAAGATCGCCAGCGAGAGATCCCGACGGCACGATCAAACACCCCAGTTCATATTCTGTAAACTCCGCTTAAAGAGCAGACACCTTGAAATTCTATGAGATTCTTCAAATCGTTCAAATTGTTGTATCTCCGATTTATATTCATATATATTCTAATTGTTCAAATTCGTGAGCCGGCAAGGTCAAATGGCCAGACAGAAAGCTTCGCCGGAATCTCACCGAAACGAAGTCCGAAACTGGAGCTCTGAAGCTCCGCCACTGAGGTGACATTCGTGTTGGGTATCCGTGTCCTGGCTTTTGTCGGTGGATCATTTCATGTGCCAAAGCGAGTGCTTTTCGAGGCTGTGCAATACTGGAGACTTGCTGCGTGGAGAGGACATGTGCATCAAGCGCAGTTCGTGCGAAGGGACCGTGCAGTCTGACTGTTTTATACTTTTTTACATTCGTGCTGCAGCTGTTGCAGCTAGCAGACAAGGTCTTCATGGGGAAGAACCAACAGATTTGCATGCATGTTGGAACACGTTATATATGAGGTAAGAAATCAGACGAACAACTTGTTGTGACCTTGTCTTCGCAGAAGTCAAAACGTCCGTGGCAAGGACATCGGGGGTCGGGACATTCTTAGATATGCTTAGGGGAAGTGGCTCTAGGCCTCACATGAATATCATGAATGAGAGTGCTGCGACCTCCCAGAGGTTCGTGGCCCTTTGTTTCGGCTCGTGCCATGGCAAGCCTTCCAACTTGGAATGGACACTATGTCAACGGTCAGAGCTTCCGACATGTTCCTTCCAGGTGAAGAGTGCAGTTTGACTAAACATTGTGCTTGGCTTGCTTTTGAACACCCATGGCTCTGAGCCTAGCAAGTCACTTTGTCTCGGTGCAGGCCTCTAAGCTGGTAGTATAGTGAAACGGTCGACTTGAAGACTGGACCCCAAAATTCACATTGACAGTTCCTTTTTATCACAAGCTTTGCTCAGCCCTTGGTTTAGACATGCTTTGAGTTGTTTTGACATGGCCAGGTGGACCTCTTGTTCATCTGGAAGATTTTGTGATGTGACCGACTCCAACACGGGGCAGGTCAACACATGCAATTACATGTAATTACATGCACGTAGAATTCAGATGAATTCAGAAGCCTTTCAGTATACAAACGATACATCGTCTTTTATGTTTTCTTGGCCAATTGTTTCAGAGATCTTGATCAAGCTCAAAGTATGGCAAATCTCACTACAGACCAACCTTAGCTGCTAGGGGCTCCTGGCATCGCTACTAGGAGCAAGGACGCTACTAGGGGCTCCCGGCCGTACGACTGGGAGCAAGGATGCTACTAGTAACAAGAACTGCATTTTGTTCAGACCACTAGTACACTACACTCCGATCGTCACAGACGATGGTCAGGTGTGTGCGCGGGTCGCCTCTGGAGGTGCTGAGATGGTGAACAGTCGCTGCTCAATCAAGTACATTGGTTTCAGAGTATATAGACCCAAACTGATGGACCAATGGACCCCAATATTATCTAAAGAGAGGGGAGCGCTGTGAGCGGCGCGTTTTTCGATGAAAATGAGCATTTTTCAACCTTTTTCATGCGTTTTCTTGAGAATGATTGATGTGTCTGACATTGCCTGGAAGGATCTGCCTGGAAGCGCCCAGATGTTAATCAGTAAGATCGGTCAAGAAACCTACAGTGATTATGAAAAAAAAAGAACCAAAACTGGAATGATAGAATGAATGACTTTACAAGAAACTTAAATGATCACTTTAAACAACATAGAACACTATATGCTGAAGAACAAAATGTAGCAAACAAGGAGAAGATAAAAGACCGCAGGGGCTTATGGAATGCCTATTCATCACCAAGTGGATTTTACAAAACAGGTAAGACTTTATACATAAGTGGCACAGGTGGTCGTGATGGATCTTTAACAAGGGATAGATATTATGGATGATCTGTTATTAGTACCTATTAGAAATGTTTATCACAGTGAGAAAAACAAACATGTTATAGAAGAATTGGAAAAGTCACCAGAAATAATCCACTTGGTTGGACATAGCCTTGCAAGTGCTGTAATAAGATCAATCAAGAACAACCTAATAGATTTGCTACAACAACCTATGCTACCCCTACAATAGAAACAAAAAGGAAAGGAACAAAATACCAAAAGACTTGACTACCGCAATCCATCCGATATTGTTTAAATTTTGGATGGTTACGCTGTAACTTCTGATTTGAAAGAACCTAACCCTTTAATGAGCCACAGCTATATCAATTTTGAAGGGAACGGCCTTTGGAACATCAATCCCGGCACCAATATAAGCAATGGATTTAACCCTAATCACTCATTTAAAAAACACATTTAAACTTAATTAACATATGTAATATTATGATGGATTACTCCAAGGCAAAAATTTACAGAATACTAAATGACAAAACTGACGATGTCTATATTGGTGCTACTTGTCAGCCATTGAGTGTCAGAATGGCAGGACATAGAAGGGGGGCGGAATGGCAAAGATAAGAAACATTACAAATTGTTATCACACAATCACCCAAACATTCAATGCTGGTGGTGGTGAAATTATTATGAATATGGTAAAATCATCTTCTTAACTGACTGGATCATTCATTACCTTATTTAGAACTCCAAGAAGTGGTGAAGTTCTGAACCGCTACTTACCTGACAATTAGGTATATAAGAGATGGAATTAGTTTTACAATCCTATGATCTATGGAAGAACTAATGATACTGGTAATGCTGATACAAATGACTTACAAGGTAAAGGTTTTCAAGATGCCACCAGTAGTTTAAGTTGGCAAATTCAATTAAGCAATTCCCAGAAATACCCAGAATTTGAAGCGCAATCATTATCATAAACCTTTTACTATTTAAGAAGAGCTATCCATTACATGAACCCAGATCAAGACAGTTTAAGTTTTTCGTATCGTCAATACAGAGAGAACAAATTCATTATTGGTATGTCATTTGAAAAGATGGCAGATGTCAATTTTGCTGGTTATAAATAAAATGTAAGGTATTACCAATTTTCGAGTTAAAGGAGCGGAAGGACCATTATTAGACCCTAATGAAAAAATCACTGAGGCTTTTTGTCATTTGATTTCAGAGACTGTTCTGGAATTGAGGGAAAGTGGGAGTATTGTCTACTTCCAAGGAAATTGAACATTTTAAAATATCCCAGGACATCAAAAATCCAATATTCCAATTTTCCAAATTCCAATTTTCCAAAATTCCAAAAAAACAAAAGAACCAAAAAAACAAAAAAACCAATTCTGCGCAGACCATGGGGGGAAGAGGGGGTGAGGCAAAGTCCTGGCACAATTGTTTTTTTTTTTTGTTTTTTTTGTTTTTTTTTGAAAATTGGAATTTTGGAAATTGCCTCGGGGGGAGGGGGGGGTTGAGGCAGAATAGGATTCTTTCAGTGGCACAAAAATCAATAGAAACACAATACAAATATAGAAACAACATACAAACAAAATGAAACAATGCAAAAACGCGCCGCTCAGAGCGCTCCTTTCTGTATCTAAAAGACATCTTTGGGTGCCGGTGCCAGTTGCTCTGAAACTAATTGCTGTATATTTATTATATAATTAGATATAATTAGAATAACTGCCCACGAGATCGCAAGAATGACTTGTACAATGTCCTCGAACGACCAGCTCATTTTGGACCCTCATGGTATCAATATAGTCAATATAGTATCTCACAGTCTTCGCAACTCCAAAAGCGATGCGTGTTTTGTCGGCTTGATTGCAACTCTGGAGACGTCAATATGCTTTTGCACCTCGCGTCGCGTCGCATCGCTTTTCGTCTTCCGCCAGGTGCTGAAGATGTGAACGCTGCGGTGTTGGCGGCCCGGTCAGCCTTTACAGCTTGGGCTGGGGAGCACAGGAAATGACAAAGCTGCCAGGCTGCTCCTGCTCAGCGGTGAAAGGACAGGATGACTTACCTGGTTTAGCTTCCACATTGCAGGAGCACTTTTAAATTCAGAGACAAAAGCAAACTTCCTAATGAACCTTGCAGACACCGTCGGGACACCCCCGTAGACCCGTTGCTTGCAATGCATGAATTCCTAGGCCGAGAAACCGCTGAGTGAACGAAAGGCCGATCCGCGGCACATGTTGATAGGATCAGTTTCGCATGGAAGTGGCTGACTTTCGCATTGAAGTGGTTTAGAACCCACTTTCGTCTACCCCAAGACGTAGACGAACCTTGAGGCTATTCTGGCTATTCTCATTTATTTACACCCTGCGGGTTGTTCCGCCGGCCTTTTCAGCCAATGGTCCCAAGATCCGGATTACTTTTTGCGTCAAGAGGAAAGACTGCAACAGAGCAGAAAAAGTAACAGCATCATCCAGAACACAGCTGGAGCAACAGAGGAGCCTACATGAAATGACGTGCATTATGATACAATAAGAGAAGAGGGAGATGAAATTGGGGGATGCAAAGTATAGCCTGCCAAGCAAGAAGACAAATTATATGACATGTGACACAATGAGCGAAGTAGACCGTGCGAAGCAGCAATCGTACATAGCATTCCGTCAGACATGATACAAGAGAGTAATGAGGACATCTGTGGCATGGGGATTTCCAAGCAGTCTGAGTCTGCAAAAAACGATAGATACGTGAGTGCAGGTGCAAAGCCTGAGAAAAACGCATGCAAAGCAGAAGCGCAATGCATGGACAACGACAAGAGAAGAACGACGATAAGAAGGAAGCGCACACAACCTTTCACTTTAGCTATGATATATGTGAGCTACATACATTTGGGATGTTCTTGGGGGGAGGGGAGGGGTCAGGTTAGACCGTTCAAAAATCCGCCCGGGGGAGCACTAAAGCAGACAAGACATAGCTTAACAAAGAACTAACAAAAAACCAACTACCCAAAACACGCCGTGCCCCAGGGCCGGCGGATTCCACTCTTTTTTGAGAAGTGCACTTCGGACTTGACTCCCAGTCAATCTGCTTTTGGTTGAAGCTTTTATGTCGATACTGCAGATACTCAATTGATTGCAATGCTTGCCGGTGGCCAGGCCGCTTTGCAAAAGGTCCTGGAGCGATGGCAGCAGAAAAAGGCGCTGTAATCCATTGAGTTCATGGTCGAGTTGGCTCAGAAAGCTTCTAGATCGGAAGATTGACATGTTGAATGTTCCTTAGAAGCCTTTAATGTTTCTTTTGTGCATGAATTGCAGCCCCGAAGCTGACAGGGAACTGCGGTGGAATGGTTGACCAAAGAGCTAGGCTGCAATGTGAAATTTGCAACACAAGTTCAGGCGGAACTCAGTGACTGAGCTTTGCTCCGATAATGTAGCTTGAATTGCTTGCTTGTATCAGCTGCACAGCAATATACGGCATAACTAGTAATTAATTATACCTTTAGAATTGATGGGAGGTGAACATGGTGGATATGCACTTGGGCTCAAGAGTGCAGCTCAGAGTCAACCCACCGGCTTTCTGTTTTGAGCCTTCAACCCTCTGGGTCTCGACCCCTTCTCGAGTCGAACCGTGCCGATGGTGGACTCGCCAATCAGGTCTCAAGATGGTGGACTTAATCAAGTTCGAGGAGAGGATGCCAATGGGCAGCTTGGACCCGCCCTCAGGCCAGTGAAGGCATGATTTGAGCGTGGTGAAGTGGTGAAGACCACACTCTGTAGGTACAGAAGGTCAATCTTGCCTTAGGTGGTCAAGGAGCCCGTTGGCGTAGTTGGCTGCAGAAAGCTTGGACAACGAAACATGCTCAAGTGATCTCAAGTGTGCAATTATGAACAGGAAACAGTTCTGAAGTTTTGAACATTTCCTGTGTCAGTTCTCAGACAACATGAGGCATTACTCCATGGAACTACCCTTTGAACCAGATAGTGCTGTACTGAGACGTGTGCTTGCGCACGGCGTTTTCGCTGAAAAAGCGGTCGCTCTTTCAGCGGGTGCCCAGGCTGCGAAGGTCTTCCCAGCATTGCTAGTGGGCTGCACGGTGGTGCTGAAACCCAGTGAGGTCCGAAACTAGAAATGCGTCGAGGGGGTGCTATGAATGGGTCTTTCATTTAAGCTGGAGCTAATTTTGCAGTACTTCTTTTTCCTCAGATAGTTGAAAGCTTCAGGGGTTCTTATTTCTCACTGACTGGGTGGCTGATCAGCATTTTGGTTTTCCGCTGCCCCTGCTGCCTTGTCTCCTTACATGTCTCCTCACCTGGCTGGATTCTTTTTGTCAATGACCTTTTTTTGTCTCACGTGCTTCTGTTTTAGTTATTTGCTATCTGGGGTCTATGCCGGTGTAACTGCCAGTGTAATTTTGAGTCTCACATGGTTTGACAATCCTTGCAAATCAGAGTGCAGCTTGCGTTGCGTTCGCAGGTGACTCCAGTGTGTGCTTACCTACTTGCAGAGGCAATCCACGAGGTGCCCAAAACAGCACAAGAAGCTTGTGGACGTGTCGATGTGTTTGGTTCAACTGACGCTGCTGGTTCAGGCTGAGGTCCCCCCTGGCGTCTTCAACATGATTATGGGTGATGGGCCAAACTGTGGAGAGGCCCAAGACAATGCACTGGCTTGTTTGTGATTTCAACTAGTTGCATAAGGTCAATAAATTGGACATGGGAACTGGATAGTTTGTTGTGCCGTTTTTTGATTCCTGTGAAGGGTAGTGCAATCTCCAAAGTTTAACAGGAACAGCAACTTGATTTCAAGCACTGTATACCTACCATGAAACAAGTTCTCCTTTGCCTAGTGACTGGATGTTGTCTTGGTGCAGTGGCTTTACTACTGTAAGGCTTTACTGCTCAATTCACCCGACAGGATTCAATGACTTTGGAGGATCAAACAGCCAAAGCTTCATATAGATTCCGAGCTTGGCAGTGCCCAAGATCAGGTGCTCGCAGCGCATGAAGATGTAGACCTGGCACGGATCCCAGCAAAGAAGCATCTCAAAGAAGAGCGGAGCGAAGAGACATACAAAACATGTTCATAAATTATGTTCACAAGTGAATCTCTCTTTTGGGCTGTCGATATCATCGCCACGTCTCACTTCCAGCTGTCAAGTCTGGCAGCTCAGCTGATCTCGGAGCTGATCGCGATCGTTTCCAGGTGAGCTTTACAGGCTCCACACGAGCCGGCACGGATTCTCTGGTGGCTTTCTGAGACAACATGAGATCCACGAGTTGCAGATGACTCAGGACGACGGATCTCCGAGGTGGCAGCGAAAACATTGAAAGTGGTGGGTGCCCCAAGGGTGTCCCCGGCCTCATCGATGGACGCTTCCAGTTATAGAAGTAGCAACAGAGCAGTTCATTGAGCAGTTCGCTCCAAGTTGAGTGAAAGGTTCGAACAGAACTGGGCGGCAAGAGCGCTGCTTTGTTGCTGGAGGACCGACCACGCGCGTGCTCGGCCGAGATTCTCGAAGCTGCTCCCAGCTCGTGGACTCCACCAGCGCAGGATGCAGACTTCCAGGCTCTCATCCCCAAGTTCGTGAAGTCGCTCATGCCTGCCACTCAGATTGCGAGGTGGAAAGGGCCGGCAGAGCTTCACATCATCCATGACCCTCTGATTGATTGATGACTCCCCGAGACTAGCCTCTAAGATGACAATGGTCGTTTTCCACATTATAGACACGGAGTGACACGGCGCCAGGGCCAACACTGGGCAGTCCTGCAATGCTTTGAGCCGCTTACTGGTTCCCAGGACTCGTGGGCAGCTCAGACAGGGAGCAAACAGACAGAGACTACAGCTACTAGTATCATACTATCATAGCGATGGCCTCTAACCAAATAGCCATGGCCTCCAAACTAACAGTATCTATCACTTTCTTTACGTTTACCATCCACTTTCAATGCTGGTGGGACGGTAATGCTGTATCAAGGTTCGCTTCGGATTGACTTTCCATCCTTTCTTTGCACGGCCTGTTGGTCTACTTTTTTGAAGTTCTGGAATGTGAGAGCAGGCTACGAGGAAGCTGTTGGCATAGCGAAGAAGGTCCGGTGCACCACATTTACAGTAATTTGGAGAGCCAAGATGCCAAAGAGCCAAGATGCCAAGGTTGCAGAGGCAACGATCGTCGGAGAATCTGCCGATTCCAAGGCCATTGCGCGCGGGGGTTTTGATGTGGCTTTCACTACTGTAATGGTAAGCTCAGTCTGAAACCAGTGCCAATCTCGACGCTGTTTCTCTCACTTCCATGGCCAGATTCCTTGAGCAAATCGAAGGGCCGGTCTGAAAATGAAGCCACAGTAGTTTTGAACATATGCGTCCGGTGTGAAAAAAACCGAACGCTTGGGAGGATGAAATCCGGATTGGTGGGTGGACACCAACCCGAAGAAGAGCTTCCTTTTCGAATATTTTTCATACTTTTTTTTCAGATCGAGACCTGATGCCGCCACCACTGCGCAGCAGGGTGCGGTGGTGACAGAATGGTGCTTTTGAGGGTGCGGGGAATTGGCCATAGCTAGAAACAGTCACATTTGCTGACAGCTTAGCTGCAACTGTTTTGCAGGCCTCTATCGGCCCAGTAGTGTCTCAAGCGCTTCGCACTCAGAGTTGATTGGACATTAGCATGTAATTAGTAGTGTCATTCCCTTTTCCTGCCTTTCTATACCATCGTAGCGTTTTTCCAGGCAATGGGACCGAGTGCAGGGCTACATCCAGACTGGAATTAAGGAAAGGAGCTGTTGAGCTTTTGGCAAAGCTTGACAGCTTGACCAACATTTCTTGTGTTTGTGACCTGGAGGAGGGTGCAAAACTTGTAGCTGGTGGTCCAGGGAGGCCAGATGGCCTCTCTAATGGATTCTTTGCCGGCGCCTAAGTGACACAGCTTTGCTGTGTTCGGTTTGGTCGTCTGTGGTTGGACTTTTATTTGAAAGCATTGACAGAATGTAAGCTTTTCGTCCACTCATCATTCAGGTGAAGCCGACAGTCTTCGCAGATGCCTGTGTCCCCGGTTCTTTGTATAACTGGCACTTGGAAGGCCACAAGTTTACTTCCAGCTTCCGGACACGAATTGGGTCCAAATCGCAGCGTTTTGGCTTGAACGTTTGACAGCGAGACAGTGCCTGGCTTTCCTACTCGCTGGTAGCTTAGCATCGGAGCTGACTTAGCATCGGTCGCATTCGTGAAGGTCAGAAGTTAGCATCAGAAGCTTAAGTACTAGTAGTTGGAGGAGCTACTAGGTACTTTGTCCATCGCTATTAGGTTGGAGGCCATCGCTACCAGTAGCAAGAAGCTACTAGTAACAAGAGATAACAAGAGCATTTCTACTAGGAGCAAGAAGCTACTAGTAGCTCCTGGCATCGCTTCTAGTAGCAAGAAGCTACTATATAGGGAACTTCGGACCACCCTGACCGTCCGATCCTAGTAACTTGTGACCAGATCCACCGGTGGATCCAGTGGATCACTCGATGCGTGTTCTGATCACTGAAGGACACCATGACATTGGAAGTGGCAGAGCAGCTCCTTGGCAGTTCCAAGGTATGGCAATTGGGTGGCGTTAGATAACTAGTTCTGTCTGGGTTGTTTAGTCTACCAGCGCCGTACCACCTGGGTGGTGACTCGTTCTACATGCTATTCACTTGTTCTTGGTCTTGCTCTACATCAAAAGTCATCGAGGAACCATGACAGCCTGCACTAAAAAAAATAAGCTTTGAACGGACTAGCTCGCATCAGCTTGAAATGGCACGCTTTGACAAACTGATCTCCAAAGTGTCCACCAGGCTCTGCACATCCAGCCTGCACATCTGCGACACAGCGTCGGGGCTGACTATGAAGGGTGCACTGATGATGATGAAGGGTGCAGAGCCACGAACTACACCAAACACTTCTCAGCAAGTCTATATCAAGGCACTGAGAGCGGAGTTGTCTCTTGTCGTCGGCATCTGCTTGCTGTGCTTCTCCATCTTTGAAAGATTAAATCAAACAGCATTATGCATCACAACATGGTGATGGGATGACCACTTCAGTAGGACTGGCTGTGAATGTGCAAAATTCAGCTGAACAATGCCGAACACTGAAGACCTTGCAGCAGCATGCATGCATGCAAGCTCTTTTTTTGGTATAGCAACGACAGAGACAACCATGTGTTAGCTCTTGAGTCATTCAGTCACAGCAATTGGCGATGCTCAACTTCTCAACTTTGTCATAGGATGGACATCTGTTGGCACAAGACGGCAAGTGCCTCGTCCTGGGCAAGTTCCATGAATGATATTCACAGCAGCAAAGAAGCCCACCCTTGGTGACTTTCCTAGTTACTACGTAGTTTACTGTTGTTTTGTCAGGGTACCTCTTAGTAGTGAAATCATATTTCAATAACGAAATCCAGATTTTAATTGCGAACATGAACTTTGTAATTGCGAAATGACACGCTGATTGCCACCGCATGGCTGAGTTTACGTGGCTTAACATGGCAGAGTTGGGTCTCTGCCAACACGGCACAGTGGGTGGGACCTTGCGATTGAACTTGGCGGGTATCGACTTCTCGTCAGGTCGAAGAAATTAATGCGAGGGACGCATCATTCATTGCCCAACTTTTTTCACCACAAAGGCCCCTTGAGAGCCATTGCTCTGTGCTTCTGGCAGCCGAACAAATACTTTTTCTTTGCGGCTTCACACCTTTAAGACACCCGTAGTGGCAAAGACCCCACTCAAGGTGTGGGGCAGCCGAAAGACCAATTGGAGGGCAGCCGAAGGGAGAATATTGCGGCGTCCTAGGTTGTAGGTTTCTCCTGCATGTTTTTAATGAGGCACAATCAAGATCCTCCACAAACAAATTTCGCAGCTGAACGAGTTTCGAAACAAAAAACCACGACTTCGCAATTCAGGATTTGCCTTTTTTCGCTGTTGAAGGGCACCCTCTTGTTTGGTGCGCATCAGTTACAAGTTGTTTTGCAGCGTTATTTTCTATTGATGGTGGCTGGTGGCTGATGGACGAAACCAAACCAAGTTTCTTCATGTTTCTTCAGTCAAACTTTGATGTTCTTGTTTCGTACGTTGCTGTGGGCAACTGTCTCTTGTCAGTCAAGCGCTCTGGATTGGGTTCATTAGAAATCCATCCGCTCGTTGAAGAATCGAATATCACAGGTAGCTCAGAAAGGATGATGACAGACAGATGCTTTTGTTTGTGCCACATGAGGTTGCCAGTTGCACCCGAGGCCGAGCCGAACTAGGTCTTCGAATTGTCGAATCTTGTAAGGGGGGTGACGTTGAATGCGATGCTTTGATAATTTTTTGTCTCACCTCACCCTCTCCTGGTGGCGCATATGATTTGACTTTGGCTGGCGGCCTCGTTGCCGCATTCGTTGAGGCCCAACTTCAATGAATAGAATGGGATTCCGGGTGATCAAACATGAAATGTTCCAAGTAATAATATAGTTCTGGAGTTGACGAGTTTTCTCCTCTCAAATTCTAGCGACTAGTGTGTGCTAGGCTTCCTCCAACCGTGAACTCGCGTTCGCGTCAGTCGTGGCAGGTGACAGAGACCATGCCCAGCCCAAAGACGGCGAGGCATCGAAGGGAGTTTGTCAACACCAAGTGAGCAACTTTGGAAATGGTTCACCTCATCAGTATGTAGAGATATGGAATATGTTCAGAGTTTTTGCACAAACCATGGAAAACGATACCAGAACGCCAAAAACGATACCAGTTTCTGTGGATTGTTTTTCCTTGGAAAACGATACCGGAAAATACAAAAATGATACCTTTACAGCTACTCCACTTTTTCATACCAAGGCTTGGATCATCGCTCAATTGTAGCGATGACCTTTGTTCCTAGTAGCGTCTTTGTTACTAGTAGTAAGGCCAGGAGCCCCTGGTAGCTTCTTGTCTCAACTTGAAGAGTTTCACACAGAGTTTGTTGAGCAGGCTTTGTTTGTTGCTATCATAAAGGTATTGTAGGGACTGAGCGCAGCCCAAAGACCAGCTGGCAGAAAGCACCGTTCTTTTTTCGTGGCCTCGCAGCACCTCCCTTCTGTTCATCAGCTTTCTTCCCACGCTGCTAAGTCATGTATCAGAGCATCTGTGATTGCAGATCATGTATGCTGTATGCAAATATGCGAGTTTACTTCGATTCCGAGACGATTGGGAAATGGATGTCTTCCAGTCCAAGATGTTGTCCTTGAGCTTACCTGTCTGTGCGCGTCGTCCTTGCAGAGCTGCCAGATGGCAGGCCAGCATGTGCGGCGCAGCCCCATGTCAATGTCGCCCTTGCAGACACATGCACAACAACATGGAGCCCAACCTTGACACTTCTTCAAACACTTGTTTGTGTCTTCCAACTTACCATTATCCCATAGAGCCAAACGTACTACAATGTTGCTGGATATGCGACGCAATCTATGTAGCATTACCAACATCACTAGGTAGTATGATGCATGTTCTCTCAGAAAGAACACCCACAAGACCAGCAACTCTGAAGCAACTAATTCTGATACGAATCGTTTACATCTGGCTTTAAAGGTTTCAACAAATCTATTCCTGTCGTTGCTAATAGGTCAAGGTAGGTAGGCGCGTCCTGGTCAGCAAGACTAGAGAACACCACATCTCCACAAGCGTGAAACCTTCAGCTCAGCACAAGATTTGAAGGTTGCTAAAGTCAACTTCATGCAGGGTTCAACCCCAAACTGACACTGATGCTCTTCCATGGACTTCGAGTTGGGGTGTTTTACTTTGTGTGGAACTCATCACATATTGGATTACGCTGTAGAAAGCGGATGAGGAGATCCCAGATCAAGAATCTGGGAGGTCAAGCTCAAAATGACCATCAAATTTTTTAGACATAATTTCTTTTGAATTAGATATTAACTTACCTGAAAAAAAGCTAGCCTACCAAGCAGTGTTTTCACAGGATCTTTCATGATGCCCAATAGTTTGAGCTCCATTTTATAGAGAAGGCATGAAAATGCACCAGATTTTATAGAGGTTGTAGTTTTGATTGTATAGACTGCAATTGGAGTAGTAGAAGGCGGAGAATTCATTTCAAAGTGGATGACGTGTTGTGAGGTCAGGTAAGTTGATATTTCATGCGATTTCCGGTGGGATGCTAGATTTCATTGGTCCAATCATCCCTTTTTGTTATATTATATATATATATTCTACTATGTTCGATTATATTCTTATTACTAATTTTTTACATGGACTTGTCTTTTTAATTTTCTGCTTAACCTTCTTCTAACATGAATTTCGACCCTGCAGTGTCCAAGCATGTCTCTCCACACGCTTGACATAGAGTGCCCCTAGCCCAGCCCGGCGTCTCAAAACCACAAGTGTCTTGCGTGGCAGGCGCATCCTGGCGGACAGTTTGCAGGGCAACGCCAGGACCGGAAACTCGGTGCACCGAGTTTGCAACGGACGACTCGGAGCCCGGGCTCTTCCCAAATGACATGACCATTCATGGCGAAGAGTCGCAACATGTGGCAACCCTGTGAGCCAGGGAGCTCCTCCAATATATCGAAGGTTCGCCGCGAGGCGCCGGCGGAAGTTGGGGCACCTGCGGTGAAGTTCAGAGAGCCGATAGAAGGATTCCCTTCACAGATGGCAGCACGAAAAAATCAACGCAAAGAGAAAGGCATTCTATATAATATATAATTCTAACAAGTATTGGTGAGAATTCATTATACTAATCCTTTTTGGAAGTAGCTCAATGAACATGAGAGAATCAAAATGCAGGGTGGCTTGGCGACCCAAACAGCGAGCTTGACCTCGAGGCAGAGAGATTGTTTGGTGCACACTCACACGGCAAGTTTCGTATGGTCAAAAACACCAAATGTTTGGTTGAATGGGAGGAGCCGATGGTGGATTTTGTTGTGTGTGCTTTTTTTTCTTTTTCCGCTCAATTCAGAGCAAAAGGAACAGCTAATTTTGACAAGTGGTTCAATTGACATGATGGCACAACTGCTTGAGACATCGAATAAGATGGTGCGGCACTGATGTACTTGCATTTTTTGGATCAACGGAAGTGGATCCTGGTGTTTTTGCAGGCCTCCGTCTTTGAGAGTGACAGTTACCTGGGCCACTTAACATCATCTTCATTCAATTTCATTCGTTTCTTTGAAGTTTGAGAAAGAGCGGGGTCTTGACACATAGAATCTCCGTTCAAGACCAATTTGAGGTTGCAGCCAAACCTGATTTTAGATAACACTGAGGTGATGAAGATCATGGGCAGCTTTCAAACTGGTGGAATCCTACTTGCGCTTGCAATGAAGATGGCTACGCGCCACGTTGTCCTTGCGATTGAGAAGAAGCATTGGAAGCCAGCAGGGCACACCGCGCCGCAAACGATAGCTTTTCCAGTGAGTTGCATGGTTCTGCTTTCAGAGTGGGCACAAAATTGAACACACAGTTTGTCCCACAGGTTGCCCTGACAGGAGCTGGGTCCTGTCTTGTTCACACAACACACAGCAAGCCGGCGTCCATTTCACGCGAAGCATGGTGGACTGGGCCCCGTGGTTCTGGAAGCTAGGAACATTCGCTTTGAACTAGGGCTTTGATACTGTGCCTAGCACAGGGTTTGCATCCAGAATCCATCTCTCCAAGATTTCGCAAAACTCGGTCATCTCTGCTCTGAATCAAAAATTGGTTGCAGAGGTTTCAACACATCGTCAGTGAGAAGTTCAATCTCGGTCTCTCTAGAGTGAGCTCAATCTCAATCTCAACAGTGAGAAACCTTTCAGCCAAGTTTTGAACATGTAAGTCGGGTGCGCAGCTCGCAGTTGACAACTTTGCGGGCTTCGTTTGGTGTATAATATACCAAGTGGCGTGCCAAAGATTCAAGTAGCAGGTGGTCGCTACTTGCCTAGCGGTGCTGTTGGAGATTGACATCTCCCAGAGAACATCTCTTAGAGATAGACGTCTCTTGTCGACTTCACTTTGCGGCCAATGACTTCACTTCTTCGTGACGACTCTCTTTTTTGGCGAAGGGATTTCGGCGGCCATGTCAAGCAAAACATGGGCAACGTACACAATCAGGCAGGTTTCCAGCCGGCCTTGCGGCGTGAAAAGACATATCTTGGTGGCAACACATGGAGCTGGGTTCAGCGGCTCGGTGAATCTTTGGGGTGGTCGTCTTGTGAACAAGGTTGACTCACACGGCAGACTCCACGTCTTGCGAATCCTTTTTTGGGGAGGTGTGAGGCTTGGCCTTAGTGGGTTGGAATGTTGAATCATTTCCGTAGACTTGCAACTGTTACCGTTCTTGCATCGGTGGTACGATTTTTTTTTTTTTTTAAATTATGTACGATTAATTTCCACCAATACTATGCTATGCCAGAAAAGAAACTTTGTATTGAGGGTGAAACCACGCGCTGCCAATCACTCAGATCGTGTGGGGGTGGCTGATGAGGGGGTGAAGCTGGCTGGAAACATGTTAAGCATGCTTTCGGAGAAGAGCAATGCAACAAGAGATAGGGCAACCCAAGTCATGTGTGATTTCAGGTCAGGTGGCATCATCGGTTTGCAAACTGATCGGTCTTGCTTTTCCAGCCGCATCCGGAAGAACCATATGGCCGAAGCCTGCTGAAGTGCTGTGCAGAAAGCCTGCTTAATTCGTTCGACTTTCTGCGCGATATTTTGTCCTCGTGACCGTGCCTGCGCAGTCGAAGATTTGTCCACAGTGCTTGAGCCTTGGGTGGCAGAATGGAAAACACATTTCCATGTCCCTGGAGTCCTCAAGATTGGCTTATGAATCGTCCGTCTTGATGGTCGCTATGAGTGATCTGATGGTGAATTGTCAGCCCTTTTCTAGCGCGTCATATCCCGTCTCTGTCTACTTTGGAATCCATGTGGAAGGCAAACGGGGACGACCAGGTAATTCATTTCCAATGATTTGTGTAAGTGCTTTGAGCTTTTTCAGCCAACCAAAGCCCTTGACGTGATCCGCAGATTTTCGGGTTGACATTCACGAGGAATGTCGGCCCTTCACCGGTGCGGCAGACCAGCCACCGTCCAGAATCTGTATGAATCTGTGGGGCAGGTTTTCTTATTTTGGGCTGAATCCGCACAAACTGGCTTCTAATGACTTGCATTGACTTGCAACAGTGCTTTGGATATCGTGATAGTTGACAGATGGCCAGAATTCGGATGATGCGAATTGCCATGGGGACGTGTTGGTCCAACAGTCCAACACTGCTGGGGTCACAGTGTCTGTCCAAAGACCAATTTGAATGCTGGTACAAGGGATGGGCCAAAAAGCCTTTGAAACTGAAAGGCTGTCCGTCAAAACTCGCCGTCGCAGGGAAGTAGATTTGCGGGTGATTTCAAACTTAAGAATGGCATTGCATTCTTTCGTGTGTGGCCACAGGGTGTTGGTAAGAACGGTAAGAACGTGCCAGAACTTTGGGGTATCATTTTGGGGCCATCGAGTTCCCTGCGATGGTTTGCGACATGCATGAGACGATATAAAAGGGTCCAGGCTTGGTATTTGCAATGTGCCGCTTAAGCCTTAACATATACTGGAGATTTGGACGGTAGGTTCTCCAAAGTGCTGAGGTGGATAACAAGATGACCATCGCGCAGGAGGAAATCTTTGGGCCAGTTCTGTCCATCATCCCCTACAGTTCGGAAGAGGACGGCCGATATCACGGAGTTTTCACAACTTCGGACACGAAGAATCATGAGAATATCGCTATCGCTATGGCGGCTTGAAAAAGAGTCCCAGCGCTGATTCTGCCAACATCCTGACCATGTGACACTCGATGGCATGATTTTGGTTGGGCAGGAGGCCATTCGAATCGCCAATGATACCGTTGCACACTCATGCGTGCAATCATACTTTGTATTTTCTTTTGCCTTGCTTATGGTTGTATCAAATCAATGAAGCATTGTTTTTTTGATGTTTTTGATTGGAGTTAAGATGCACCAGTGCTCGTACACAGATTGTTGGTGCTAAGGTGTATGGCTTGAACAATGCCGTTGGAAGTGCATCTCCTGAGCGAGCAGTTCAAGTTGTTGGCAGCCTAGACTCGACCCGTGGAGTCAATCAGCCGTGAAGAATCAACCTCAAAGAATGGCTAGGTCTCGGAGACCTTAGTGAGACCAGGAATTTGCGGGCATGGTTTGACTAAGTTTCACTTGAAAGGCTGGAACAGCCGTGGTGGAGAAACAATACTCAGACTCCAACGCTATTAGGTTGCAGGCCATCGCTCTTAGGGTGGAGGACATCGCTAGAAGGGTGGAGGCCATCGCTAGTAGGGTGGAGGAAGCTCCTGTTAAACTCAGAACACTTTGTTTGTGGGTCCAAGGCACGAAAGCTCCGCTCTGGCATGGCGATTAGCTCAGGAAGTCGCAGGTTGCAGGTTTGAGTCTTCAACCTTTTTGCACATTCCCCTGTTTGACATCCAAGCACGCCTCATCCTATCATTCAAACATGTTTATATAAGTCATTTAATTTGCAGCTAGTGAAAACCAGCCGCCACTCACATCGAGGTCATGATCAACGACACATCAAGTCTTGTTCCCAGAGTTCCCAGACCTTAAGTGAAGATGTGACAAACCGACTTGAGTTGGACATTGCATGTCATTGCGCAAGCTTCATGGGCTCCCTAACGCTGAGTTCTACCAGATGCACCTTTTGGCGGTTACAAGCAGAGTGGTTGCTGACTCAGCTAACAGGCAGGAGTTTTTTCCTGTGGCCTGATCACGGCAAATCAGTGGTTCGTCTTACTGAGGAAACGCCCGTGAGTGGGGCACAATGGGAATTGAAGAATACTTGGTTACCAAGACCTTAGCAGGCAAGCCTCCCTCAAAGTTGTAGCCAACCTTGAGGCTTTAAAGAGGCCGAAATGTTTTAAGTGTGCCTCTTGCGAGGGCACAGAAAGCACCCTGGATGGCTTGTGCTTGCAGGATCCTCCAGGTTTGAATGCTGCCCTTCTAGCTCAGCTCAAAGACAAAAGGATCTTTGGAATATATCGATCAGGCATATTAATATATATATATATATTAATATTATGGTATATGATGTAGTTGAAAGTTCTTTCGCCTTGCGAACCGCTCAATCGTGTCAACCATGTGGTGTTCGTCCCTTAACGCCTCAGGAGGTTGAGAAGTTGAACGCAGACGGCTCGCGCTTCCAAGATGATCCTTTTGTGGCGCTGGTGCATCGCCAAATCCCTTGGTTGCGACAGCTCTATGACTCGGAGGTGGGTTCCCATCGAACGTTCCAGAACCAGAGAAACAAGACAAACAAGAATCAAACCATCACAGACCTTAAGGGCACCATATTTAGACCTTACTTGCTGATAGTTCTTGCCTGTCTTTAGTCAACGGTTTTGTTGAGAATCTGCGTTGTTCGTTTTCGATCCTTTGTCCATGAAATTCCCGGCCCGTACTGGCCCGTACTTGGACAGTACCAGTATTTCCATGTATTTCCCATGGCCTTGTTTCTCATTCCTTTGCTTTGGCTAATTGAGAGATTCGGCGAGGTGCCGTGGGGCCTTATTCACGGAGCGGGCCCTGAAGAAAGACAGGACCAGAAAGGAAGAACCATGAAGACAAGACGCATGCCGAGATGTCGGACATTCTTGAGGTGATGCTTTTCTGGACAACACCCTTTTTGAGGACCTGGGCAGACCTTTTCTTCAGAATCTTCATAGAGCTTCTATGTTAACAGTCTAATTTCCTACTGACCCTCAGTACGACAAGCATTCGACAGGATGGGCCTGGCGACTGCAAGCTATTGGCCCTCATTGACTGGGAGGAGAGGGTGACTTGTGGAAGCTTCAAAGTTTGTTGTCTCATCAGTGGCTGATCTTCTTGACATGCCTTGTCTTCGTGGTCTTTTTGTGACTGATCTTTGCTTTCCTGGCTCCAAGCCTGGCGTTGAGTAGTCATACAGCGCTGGGCAGCTGACTTCGTGGGTGGAGCAGTTGACGTGACTAGTCACTAAGTAGTCACAGATAGATGAAGATAGTATATGATAGTATCACATGACATTGTCCTCAACTGTCGTCCAAACCGGACACCCTTTGCAACTCACATGAGCGTGTCGAGCCGCGTCGCTGTGTCGATCCGCCGCCTGGGATCCCACACGGAGCGCGTGGGAAAGTCTGCGGCACTTCGATGCTTTTCCGACTCCAGGCCGCTCGGAATGGAGTGAACAGATACAAGAAGCTCCTGGCATCACTACTAGTAGCAAGAAGCTACTAGGTTGGAGAACATCGCCGCTAGTAACAATAAAGCTTTCTAGTAACTAGAAGCTACTAGGTGGAGGAGGTCGGAGGCCATCGCTACTAGGTTGGAGGCCATCGCTACTAGTAACACCGACTTCAGCTGCTGCCGACTTCACGCAGGTCGGGCAACGAAAAGGCAAATCATGCTCCGTGGTGTCGAGGCTGCAAGTTTCCAGTTTTTGAACACATCTAATAGATTCCAATAGCTTCTTGTTACTAGCAGCGATGGCCTCTAACCTAGTAGCTTCTTGCTACTAGCAGCAATGCCAGGAGCTACTAGTAGCTTCTGGAAGTTGTTGTGGGCACATTAGACGCCTTTCGACTGCAACGCCTGTTGTATGATTGTTGCGATCTGCATGTCGCTTCCCAAGGCATGAGCTCACACCGCGTGGCTTAGCAGCTCTGAATACTGCAGGACACCCGGCTGCGCAAGCCTGCGCGCATCTTCGTCCTGCTTTGCCATTTGGACCATTCGCGATGCCGTCAAACTTACGTAGTACACCCTGCAAGTGCCACGAACCATGTTTCCCAATTCAAACCTAGCTTTATAGATTCTGTAGATTCATAAGAACGTTTTTTTTTTTTGTCATGTGTTTGCTAAACCAGGACCCCGACTGCTTATTGTTTGGATTCATTGCTGGTCTGGGAACGTTTTCGCACGTTTACGCCGATCCTTTTTAATGATAGTGGGAAAGCAACTGATTTGGAGCAAGATGACCGACTTCCAAACGGTCTCCCGATTTCATTGAACCACACCATAAAGAGCGATGCATGATGCACCTGCGTCATTCATCATAATGGCCTGAGTCCCACTTGCCTGAGGGCAAGTCTCACAGACTCCATCAACAATATCTATCAATCCGAGTTGCAAAGGCTTGAAAGTTATACATCCATGCAGGTATCTATTGGAATGGCCGGTACAAAGAAACACAATTGCCACGCATAGATAGAAGCAGGAAATCTCTGTGCTTTGGCAGCAGCGGGAACTCATGATCACGCCTTAGTACGTGTGCTCTCTGGAGCTGCGGCCTCTTGTGTGGCTTGGGCAAGCGTCGAAGCCAGCTTTTGCCTGAAGACTTTCCACACAGTGACCGGATTCCAACACCTCTGAACTTTTAGTGAACGTGTCAGAAACTTCGGTGCGTTAGCATCTTTAGCTTTCCGTATCTTTCCGTAGAATTTCAGCCGGGCTTTGCTGGCAAGGGGCACAAGACAGAGTCCTCATGCAACAAGACCAGGTGGCCTCCTTCAACTTCTGCATGCAGAAGCCGTTGAAGACTCACCAAAAAACTGCTGGATGCTGGGGCATGGCCTTCGCCATTTTGCACTTTGCCAACTTGGCATTGCCAACTTGGCTGCAAACGAAGCAACCAAAGAAAAGCCTTGGCTCGTAGTGTCAGAAGGAAAGAGGTAGGAGGTGAGCAGCAAGAGGAGATATGAAGCGATGCAGTGACCGGTGTATGATTGTACAAAAGTAAAGACCTACGTGGAGGAATGCATACGTGTCAAGGCTACTTCACGAACAAAACCATGGCCTCCATCTCACTGACGAAGAAGAGGACATCTACGAGCATGGCTTCCAAAGTCATGGGGTGACTCCAAGACAGTTTGCCAAGCTTCTAAAGGCCAGCCTGTTTTACATTATTTTACATTGTCGTTTCTCATGGACTCTAGACTCTAAATCCAACAAATCGTAAGAGCCTTTCAAGATGGTCGAAAGTCAAATGGGTGAATTTACAGAAGACTTGAGAAATAATTGCCGCATTGCCGCATAATTACATAAGTAATTCTGAAGTCCTGGTTCAAGGCTGGTGCCAAATTTCAGAATTATGCGCCTGGAGATGCTGGGCAGTACACTGGCACAGAGTACTATAGAGAGTACATGAGAGTACTGCTAAAGTGCACATATTCAGGGTCTCACCATGTTTGACCAAAATGCATTGCCTCGACTTGATCCTCACCCTTCGACGTTATCCTGGAAGTCCTCAGGAACGAATTGTCGCTGCAGGTGATGCAGTCCAACGAGTCCTCTATGTAACAGAGGGAACTTGTGTTGCTGAGCGAGCTGCTGGAGTTGTGAACATAGAGTACCACCAGGATTCATGCGACAAACAGTGGACACCTTTCACCAGTCTTTTCTTGTGTTTTGTTTAACTGCCAACATGCTTTCACTGACTGAGACGCGAAGACGCGACACGAGACGTGAAGTCGTGTTAACGTTGAAAGACTTCATCGGACTTGCAGTTATATTACAATTTCACTTTGTTTGAACTCGCATAGACTCATAGACTCATTTAGAATCACAATGATCTAGAATTCCTGCTGGTGCCGCTGATCGGTATGTCCTGAAGAGGATGTGTTCATCGGCACACTATGGCCAAAGGCTTGGCGATCTGAATTCCTGGGCATTCCATTCACAAACGAACCCAACACGAATGAGGACTGCTTCGTTATGTCAAAAGAGGAAAACAATAAGGTGCTTGCTTGGGCCTCTTGAATACGCCAGCCCCATGCCAGCCCCATATGAAGGGGCGCGTATTCACGGGGCCCAGTCGCATATTTCTTTTGCTCCCTCTCACCATTCGCCCAGTCATTCGCCCAGTCGCTCGCCAGCACCTGTTGCCCTCGCTCGCCCAGTTCGGAGGACTGGGAGGACTCCTGGCTCATCGAACAAGCCGAAGCTCGTGGCTTGCGAAACCGTGGCACCAGCGACGACTTGCATGCCCTGTTGAGGTCCGGCCTTGAGGAGACGGAGCGGGAGACGACCGAGACAACAGACCAAACTGAGGCATCTCAGTGGGCCCGGTTTGGACTCCACGCCGTCAGGAGAAGACTGGGCCATTGACCAACGTCAGAGCAGGCCAGCTCGCTAGCTCGCTCTGGCCAGCTCGATGTGGGTGGTTTTTGTTTGGCTGGTTTTGGCTGGTCAGGTTCACAAATGCCGCATGTGTCTGATCTACGGTGTATTCCAAGCATTCTAAACCAAGTTCTGCTTGTGGGCACCACATCATGATCATGTTCGATAGTTGGATGTTTTTGAAATGTTTCGAGAACTACCAGCGCTTTTCCAGGTTCAGCTTGGGTGTCTGATGTAGTAGCAGGGCCAGAAGGATGCCGACTGTTGGAGTGGCCCCTGGGGGTCTTCAGCTGTGCTGTGGGAGCAGTGCCTCAGCTGAAAGGACCGTCAAAGATACTTCAGAAAGATGATGCCCGGTTCCTCAACCACACTTCGTTGAAAGATCATGCCCGGTTCTTCAACAAAAACCTAGGATGAGAGCCTTTGCACAGCTTTTCAGCATGTCGAGACCATGGGACTGGCCAGCAAAATCGTGAAGGGTGCAAGCAGAAAGGCGCTGGAAGGATACAAGGAAATTCTTCGTGCTACACTCTCTGACAACATGATCAGACCAGAGGAGACGCCCTGTGACGCAAATTTGGTAAGGTTGGCGTGCTTGGGAAACATTGGGAAGTACTCGGGCCCCCCTGGCAACCGCACAAGGTGGCCCATCAAAGTGACATTTATAATTGTCTAATATTGTGTACATAGGCATATACTTATACGTCAGAAAGAACATTTTGAACTCATTTAAACTCAATTGTACCCCAATGAAAGACTGCCTTCTAATGTCTTGGTGATTATTGCTATGTGCAAAAGGAGAAGATGGCCCTTGACCGATACCGGGCTCGTCATGGAATTCCTGATGGTGAGCATTTACAGATGCTGGAGGGCTTTGGTTGGAGCGCTGAAGAGTTTAGATGCGGCATGAAGAAGCTTGCTCAGCACCAGATCCGCTTGAATTCAACTCCAGACTTTGTGGTTTCTCAGACCCTCTGATTTTGCAAGTCTTTGCTCCAGAGGCAAATGCATCAACAAAAATCTTCCGTGCCTCCTTCCGTGTCGTATCTTCCCGGAGAAAACTCTTTTCAAGCGAAGAGGTTTCCTGCACAAAACGGGTTTCAACTGCACGGAACGGCGACCAGGACTGGATTTTGGTCATCATTGCGACAGAAATGGATGGCAACCCACAAATCCTGAGGGGCCATCTACACTTACTGTGCACTTTTGAAGGCTCCGGTCCTTAGCAAAGTGTTCTGAGGATCTGAGCATGACTTGGTGGCCTGCATTGCTTTGATTAAAGGGATTACAACTGTAACTGTACTGAATGCCTGGAGCTTGAATGATGTAGATGATGCCGATACTCATCGTGCGTTTGATATTCTGTCATAAAATATGAGTCTTTTCCTAAGAAACATCAAGAATCCTGTGTGACTGTGACTGTGTGATCCCAAGAAACCATGTGATCCTACGATTCTTCTGAAGCTTCAAGATCAGTTACAGTCGTGTAAGAAAAGGAGTGAAGTCATGGCGCCCACTCTCTGGGGTGATATTGGGCTGCCTTTTCTGGTGGATATACAATATATAATGGTTCAAGTCCTCGAAGTCAACAAGAAGGAGCGGCAAGGTAGGCGGTCGCACTTCATGATGGGGCGCTCCGGCTCTTGCTTCTGGGGACAGTGGTTTGGCGAGGTGGCCAAAAGACCTCACATGCTTCAGTTCAACAAGTGTGGAAAGAGCGACATAAATGGGCAGGTCAAACCGCACAGGTTTATGAGGCTCATCCCATTCACCTGTGCAGGTGAATGGGATGAGCTTGGTGACCGACCGGGGAGCGGTCGGACAGAAGTACATGAAGATCATGAAGGCATGTCATACGACCAAGCCTGACAGCTTCATCATCAAGAATCAACACCGATGCTGTTCAATGCATCATCGCGTTTGCACTACTTGATACCTTGCAAAGGTCGAAGATGGCTTTGATGATGGGAGATCCAAGCTCCATGATCTCTATGCCACTATGCATGTGCATGAGGTGAACACCCTTTGCAGGAGGCTTTTGGACATCGCTTTGGCAGCCAAGGATTTTGTGGTAGCCATGGGCTACGATCATGTCTGAACTCATGTTTGAACTCTTCTTTTTGCTTCATGCAGGATGGTCATGCAATCTCACAGAGTGAAGCATGTCGCCCATTGGGCAGGCGTTGTGGTGACGCAAGACATTGAAGGATCGGCCCCTGCTTCGGATCGGCCAAGCATTCGTCGGTCGGAGACCGGATCTGAGAGTCAGTCGGCGACTGAAGGGCAGCTCATTGACACCAGCGCCATATGATTGACACCAATGATGCTGAGCAACAGCTGCTGCAAAAAGTGCCTCTTCGTTTGCCGATGTTCTGGGGTTTGGGACAGCGCCCTGAGTGAGGTGATGAACATTGACAGCACCCTGAACTGATAATGTGTTGTTTCTTTCGTGTTTCGAGGAACTTCAAGGTGCTTCACAGGAGAGGTAGTGTACTGAATTCTGTTTGTTTAGCGTTCCTGGCAACTGTCATTCAAGCCGATGAGAACCCCTTGAAAAACAACATTTGCTTTTAGGGCCCACTTAACTTAGGCGGCTGAACTTTTGCCAGATTTTGGCTGAACTTTCCAGAAACCAGGTTCTGTTTAAAGTGATGTTTGCCAGAGAATTTGTCAGGGCCGGAGGCTTTTTTTGGGTGACTATAGAAAGAGATCTGTGAAAGCCAGGTGCACTTGCGTGAACCTCCCCAAGAAATTTGCCGACATAGTTTTCACGCGTTTGCTCTAGCTTGCTTGAGTGCAACACAATACCAAAATATGTATATATATATAATATATATAAGTATCAACTATTATTTGGAGGCAGATTATCGAGGCTTTTCTCCTTTCTCGCTCTTCCTTTCTCGCTGCATCTTGCTGTTGACCGGAACCTGAAGCAAATGCACGTGCTTCACAACAGAGCGAATGAGAACTTAAGCAAGTTCAAACTCAACTCAGACCCCGCATGAGCTAGCAATGTCGACATGGATCATGTTGATGTTCCAGACACAGATGGCCTCAGCGTGCTTGAAGTGGAGGAGCGCATCAGAAACACGTTTTTGACGTAGACGCATTGCATCAAGTCCATTGACATGAAATCAAGTCCCAAACTCCCACCTGACCAACCCCAAGAGGTACTGCGTCCTTTGAGGTCCCAAAATGCCCTTGAATGATCTTGAATGCCTTTGCAAAGCTAAACTCGTTGACGGCTCGCATTGAGCCGACCAGACCGAGAGACTTGATGGAGCGGCGAGGATCTGTACAACGCCGCTTTGGAGGAGGTCCAAAAGGCCTGCGATGTGAGCGAGCGGCAACGCTGTGGCCAGCGGCTGGCGGTGATTGCAAAGGCGGGATGGAGGTGACCAGGAGTTCCATGATGTTCCATGTCTGGGGATGCAGAAAGAACGGACCTTTGGCTGGGAGATGCAGGTTCTACGACTTTTTTGCCTTTGGGCAATGTTTGTTCGTTTGATACAAAGAGATTTTCAAGACTTCATTTCGGCTCTGGTAGCAACAATTGCCAAGCGGTGCAGAGGGGGACACCGAGACAATCCGACCATGACCAAGTGTTGGTCGTCAAGGGCGAACCGAGTTGACGTTCCCGCCTAGGCCTTAAGAGCTGCCAAGCGTAAGCCGTTGGAAAAGACACAGATGCTTGCCAAGAAAGGTGCAGAGGATGTTTTTGTGCATCGGTGGAGTGTTAGACATCTGAGGAGGACAGAGTGGTCTGCTTATCCAGAGCCAGTCACTTTGCCACGGTGTCCAGATGATGCAAGATATGTGTGCTCCTTATTCTTCTGAAGAAGGTTTGTTGCTGTGTCGGTGTTGTGCTTGTTTAAGAATTAATATTTTACGTTCGCAAGAACTATATGAATAATCACAGTCAAGCATTCAATTCAGTTCTCCGTCAGTGACCATCCATGTGTGGAACAAGGTAAAAAGCTTCAGCACCGAAGTTGCGGACTTGCCAGCAGCGCAACACTTTTTCCATGAGTATGGGTTCGTGGTCTTCAGAGATGTCCTCACGGCTCCTGAATGTGGTTTGGTGTGGTTTCACTGAGAATGACATATGTTGACATTCTAACCTCTAACGTCAAAGTCTTTTTGATTTTTTGTTTGCTTTGTTATGTCTGAGGTGAAGCGACGGTGGCGGAGATTTGGAGGTCACTGGAGGAGCGAACTCCAGGTCGGTAATGCAACGCATCAAGACCGAGTCATAGAAGATGTGAAGAATAGTAAAGATTTGAACAATATTTAAAGTAGGCTTGGCATCCAATCATTCTCATCTCGGCCTAGGGTCTTTGTGACAGACTCAAGCCATGATTGAAACCTGTAGGTTGGCAACCTAGAGTCTTATAGGTCTGCATTACTGGCACCACTAACCAGTAATTGGGCAGGGTTGGAGTTGTAAAAACATATGTTGGCAAACTCTAGGTTGGCTCAAGCAATGATCAAAACCTGTAGGTTAGCAACCTACAGTCTTATAGGTCTGCATCACTGGCACTACTACCCAATAGTTGAGCTCATTGGATGTGTTGGAGTTCGAAGACCGTACGTTGGCAAACCGAAGTTCGAACATCTCAATCCGAGGTCCTCTCAAAGAACTCAGACAGCGGAACCCGAACTCCGGGTGCATTTCCAGACGAACCACCCCCGAGCCGCACCGCAAAAACCGCACGCCGCGAGAGCTGCCCGGAAGGTCTGGAGCGTCATGACTCGGAGAGCTGGTCTTTGCTGTCTTCCGAACGGTATGGACTTCCGGAGGAGCAGGCGCTGTGGGCAGTGCTTGGCACACCCTACTTTTTGTTCAAGGATTTAAGGATTTAAGAGGCTTACGCCTGACAGCCGGGCGCCGGCCAAGCAGGGTGAGGGTTTGTGTGCAACGGTGACGCTAAGCGGGAAGGCAGAAGCGAAAAAAGTTGTCGCGGAGGATGTATGTGAACATAAATTGCGTAACATACTTTTCCACTCTCTCTCTCTCTTTCTCTCTCTCTCTGTCTCTCCCTTTTCCTTCACTATTTGCCTCGGTCTCCGTCCCTGTCTCCGTCGCGGTATTAGTCGGTAGTTGTCTCTGTCTCTGCCTCTGTGTCGGCTAAAAGGTTGTGGGGGAGCATCGCTCCCCCACCCTCGCGCAGGACGGGGGCCGGGACTTCGGGCGTCCCGGCAGCGTCCTTCGCAAGAAGGGGGCTGACCGCCCGGGTGCACAGTAAGTGCACCGAAGGTCGGGTGAGCCGTCGAACACAGCCACAGCCAGGCACAGCGTTATGCTTTCTTCTGCTCTGTCTCTTTCAACGTCTCTCCACACCTACAGCAACGTCGACGAATAATTTTAGATAGGGCTATATTCCTCGCACGATCCCCTCGTCCTCGGAAGAGGTAGCGTCGTCCACCACCCGGAGCCAACAAAAGCAGAGAGCGCGTCGGTCTTCCCTCCCAGCTACGGCGAGCAAGCGGTTTCATTCTGTGAGAAGCCGTGGTCGTTTGTTACGGTGTTTAGGGGCCCAGCGGGAGTCAAACATCTTCGACCATGTTAACTTCTCAGTCAAGAAGCATCTATTAGATAGTTTCATTTTCTTCCAAAAATTACCTTTGACATAGTTTTATTTTCCTCTAAAAACCCACCAACCGAACCCAAAAAGATCATCCACGACAGAGTTTTACTACAAAATACTACCCACCGAATATCTGTGTTTGTCAGACTCGCTGAAAACAGACTAGACTGAAGTGACTGCCAGAGAGTGACGAGAGAGAGTTGACTGTGAGCGACTCACCGTGGCTCGCTTACGAGAGACTGAACTGCACAGACTGCATGGCTCGCTTAAGAGAGACTGAACTGCACTGACTGCATGGCTCGCTTAAGAGAGACAGGAGAGAACTGACAGCGCTGGTTTTGTGTCAAAAGTCTGTGACCCCGTACCCGACACCTTGTCCAGAATGCCAAGGCAAGCAAGCGCGCTTGTGTCGCCAACCAAGCGCGGGCGTCCAAGACCTGCGCAAACTGTGGCCAGCCATTGAAGGCAAGTCAAACTCCAGGTACGTGGTGCAAACCCTGTGCATACCCTCCTTGCACGGGCGGATGTGGAAAACCACGCCCTCAAGTAGGCAAAAGGCGACTCCACGCCAAGAAAAATCCTATTTGGCACTGTCCAGAATGCCAAGGCAAGCAAGGCCGCTGTGTTCGGTGTGAGAAAGTGGTCGCCGTTCCCAACCTTTCTAACTACACCGCCGACAACAACACAGGAACATGCAAAGCGTGTGTCGCTAAGCCTAAACTCTGTGGTAACTGTGCCAAACCCTTGCCTTCCACTGCAACAGCTGGGACATGGTGTGCCGCATGTGCGTATCCCCCTTGTCCAGTGTGTGGTCGTCCACGACCCGATGACAGAAGCTATCACGTCAAAGTTTTACCAACTTGGACTTGCGCCGAGTGCAAAGTGAAACCATGCAGCAAGTGCGGTCAGCCGCTGGAGTCCCAGGCCATAGCAGAGACCTTGTGTAGGCAATGCAGCTATCCGCCGTGTGAATCCTGTGGTCATCCACGGCCTCAAAAAAGTGGGTACCATGTCAAGGTTTTACCTTCTTGGAGCTGCGCAGAGTGCAAAGTGAAGCCTTGCAGCCAGTGCGGTCAGCCGCTAGAGTCCCAGGCCATGGCAGACACCTTGTGTATGCAATGCAGCTATCCGCCGTGTGATGCTTGTGGTCAGCCACGACCACAAAAAAGCGGCTACCATGTTAAAGATTTACCAACTTGGATGTGTAGCGAGTGCCAATCGCTGCGAAACTATCCCCCGTGCGACCAGTGCGGTCGGCCACGGCCACAAAAAAGTGGCTACCGTGTCGACGTTTTGGCTCATTGGATCTGTGCAGAGTGCCGCGATAACACCCAGCGTGGCGTGCCACGGAAGAGGCGTCGCAAAGTGTAGAAGCCTATGCCATGAAAGCAGCATGCGCAAGCTGTGACGTGCAACATACGCAGTCCACATCAGATAGAAATTCCACGTCAAAAGCCTAATGCACAGAACCACCCTGGGCAGCTCCATCTCACCCCCTACCCGAGAGCCAGCGCATCGCGCAGCCGCTGCAGCCAAGTCCGCAAGAGCATCGCTCATGCCCGGCAAAACCATAGTCCGCCCACTTAATAGATTCCATTCTAGAAATTCCGTACCCATAGTCCGCCCACTTAATAACAATTCCATTGTCGAAATTCCGTAGTCAAAAGCCTGGTGCACAGAACCACCATGGGCAGCACCATCTCACCCCCTATACCCGAGAGCCAGCGCATCGCGCAGCCGCTGCAGCCAAGTCCGCAAGAGCATCGCTCATGCCCGACAAAAACCATAGTCCGCCCACTTAATAAAAGTTCCATTCTAGACACTCCGTAGGCAAGTCGAACGCGGCGTGCTTCCAACCGCGCAAATCCTTGGTGCGTACTCCGCAAGAGCATCGCTCATGCCCGGCAAATACCATACTCCGCCCACTTAATAGATATTCCATTGTCAAAAACCAAGTGCAGAGCAGGGTTTCGATCGTTTGCTCCCGAACGGCCTCAGCCATGGCTTCGTTTTCGTGGGCTTGTGGAGCCAAAGGTTCGATTGAACCATCTGCCAGCACATGACTCTGTCACAGTCGCATTGCAAATACTGTGCCACATCCAGCACATCCTTCTCGATGCCCTCTCACGATTTCGACGTGGGTATGTGGGTATGTCATTTCAAGTCTCTCATGCCTTAACAAGCGGTGGCAACAACCGTCTAATCACCAACCCCCTCCATCGCACCACCGTCGAGAGCCTAGACGCTGTGCGCGTCCAGTCGCACAATCCTTGGCGCGTTTGCGCCTTCGCTCTAGCCTCCGCCAGAGCATCGCTCACGCGGCCAACTTCATGACAACAACCAGGCCGTAGCAGTCAAAAAGGACCGGTCAGCGAGCGCTGGACGCGCGGTGTGTCTGTGAGTTCGTTCTCGCCGGATGCGCGGTGCGTGCAGACAGCAGTGTCTGCGAGTTCGTTCTCGCCAGGTGCACATCGTCTACATCTTCCGTCGGTGGGGGACCGAACAACCCCTCCCTGTGCAAGACGGGGACCGGGACTTCGGGCGTCCCGGTAGCATCCTTCTCGCGAAGGAGGCTGACCGCCCGGGCGTATACCGAGTATACGCCGAAGTCGGGAGAGCCGTCTTGCACATTTCCTGCCATCTTTCTCTCTCTCTCTCTCTCTCTCTCTCTCCTCTCTCCCTCCCCTCTCTCTGTCTGTCTCTGTCTCTGTCTCTGTCTCGGTCTCTGTCGGTCTCTGTCGGTCTCTGTCTGTCTCTATCTCTGTCTCTGTCTGTCTCTGTCTCTGTCTTCTCTGTCTCTCTGTCTCTGTCTCGGTCTTCTCTGTATCTGTCTTCGCTGTCTCTGTCTCTCTCTCTCTCTCTCTTTGTCTCTTTCTCTCTCTCTCTCTCTCTCTCTCTCTTTTTGAGACTGTGTGGGGCCTATGTGGCCCGTCTTGGGGCTATGTTTCCCATATCTGAGAGCTAGGGAGAGTCATCTTCGCTGTCTCTCTCTCTCTCTTTTTTTTTTGAGACTGTGTGGGACCTATGTTGCCACATCTTGAGGCAATCTTGGCTCATCTTGGGGCTATGTTTCCCATATCTGAGAGCTAGGTAGGGTCATCTTGCGGCTATGTGCGACTGTGTGGGGCCTATGTTGCCCCATCTTGGGGCTATGTGGGCCATATCTGAGACCTATGTTGAGTCCTCTTGAGGGCCTCTGTCAGATCATCTTGGAGCACATGTTCCGCCTTTGCTCTTAGCACGTGCCCGACACCCACGAAATGTCGATTAAGCCTGTCCGCGCGGCACGCATAACTGACACCACGGGCACCCTGTCGTGGACGCCGAAGGCCACGAAACACTGTAAAAAACGATGTTTTTGAACATTTTTCGAACATCCAGCGCAAGATACATATAAATCTGTCGGGCGGATTTGGGCGGGGGTCGGGCGGGGGTATCCCCGCGGTCCAACAAAAGGGTCGGCGGCAGGGGCGGCGAGCGTATATAACCTTCGGTTACCACCGAAGGCCTCCGGCAAGGACACGGGCCCGTGGCCGGCGCCCGGATTTGCGGAGAGGCTCCTGGTTTTTACTCTGTGCAAACTGGTGCTTAGAAACGAAATGAAACTCATCCATGATTTGGCTACTTGAGGCAGTGTTCACTCCGCAGATAGTTGCAAACAGACAGAATGACCGTGTCTATGCCGCATTGGATGCTGTTCTTCCGCGCATGAGTGGGATTGAGGAGAGACGGCGGGGGAATCATTTTCAAGCCACTAAGAGCTCGGCCCGGTCCATTCTTACCATTATTTTGCAGATTCTCACAGGTTGTGGATTTGGAATGCACTTTACATCCGTCTACCACGATCTGTGGTACTCAAGTCATGGACTCATGGTATGTTACTGTAGTTACATAGACGAAGGATGCGTGACCCACGTTTTCCAGTGCACTGTCAATCCAATTTTGATCAATTTTGTTGTCTTTTTTCTCAAGCGATGCTGCCATTCGGAAGGACTTTGACAGCCCTCATCCTGATCCCAATAGTGTGGTTGTCACTCAAGACAGGTCGGCGATGTGTTTGAATTAAACCATTCAAAAGTGCATTCACTTGGTCCGTTCAAGAACGGGCGTTGAGAATTCTGTTGGCTTGAAAAGGTGGTGTATCTACCGGCCTGCTGGTGATGATGCAAGCGCTCGTACGGCTGAGAATCTGCACTTGGATGTGAACCCCTGGACCTATGCTGGGTTGAAGCCAACAGAGATTGAAGACCTCAGGCAACTGCTGAAGGAGGTTCTTGTTCAATTTTTCCTTCTTTAGGACTAGGTTTATTTCCAGTCCTACTTTTTCTTTTGTCTGAGTTGTTGGTCTTGTTATGTTTTGTTTCTCTCTTTAGGTTTGCATATAAGTTGGCCTGCCGCCCGCAGACGGCCGGGTCATTTTCAGCACTTTGCAAATTCCGTGTGGTATGTACTTTCTATGTGTCCGCCGGGCCACTGTGGAGAGCGTCGAAATGGTAATAAGCATTTTCTATGGTATTTCTATGTATTTATCGTGGTTTCGATCAATTATGTAGAACATGCATGGCATTTATATACAGCACTTTTTGTTTGTTGTCGATGTCCCAACATTGTCATCGGTGTCACAACATTGTCATCGACATCAAAACATTGTCATCGACGTCGCAACGTTGTCATCGATTAGTCGTGATTAAAATGTGGTGGGGTGGGGTGTGTGGGGGGGGGGTAAATCGATTTCACAACAGTATCATTAGCTTCGCAACATTATCGTCGATTTGGAGTTTGTGGTGAACTCCGGGTCTGTGAAATTCCTGGCGTAGATGGACAACTATGGAGTTCAGGTTTGAAACAGCATGACCTTTGCAGAATATATTTTTCTTATTTTTTCTTGATTTATTGTGTCGGCACATGCAGCCATGAGTAACCAAAGTATTTTTTTTGAACAAACAATGGCACCCCCAAAAGCCCTAACAATCAAAGAACTGCTAACCCCAAGGTAACTTTAATAAAATGACATCTTCAACACACAACAAATTGTCCCGAAATGTCCCGAAAGCACCCGGCCATCTACGCCCAGCGGACCATGTAGTTTGGACTTTCAAGCCTGTGATTTTTATGGTTCTTTTTTGGTGTGCTCATCTATGTTTTGTGTCATTCTTTCCTTATCCGTTTAGCATTGTTTAGCTTTGCATTGCAGGTATGGAATGACAATAGCTGGCGACCATCGATTCCCTTTGCAGGAGCAAACTGTTATTATATTTGTTATTGAAGCTTACAGTAGGCCTTAGGCATTTGCAAAGAGAGCCAAGCGACGTCTTGAGGACTTCCGTGCTGAGCTTACGGCTGTCCAGGGCCGTGGCAGTTCTACAGGGGAGCATGTTCAGGGAGTCCTGAACTTGCTAGACAATTTGGAGGAGGACAGGTCGCAAGTTTGTTTCTGTCAAGCAGCTGTGCTGTGACATTTTGTGACCACAGCATCGAGCTTAGTACGTAGTTGCTCGCAAGGAGCAAACATGGGAATAGACTGTAGCAATCTGTAGCAGGCAGGCAGTAAACTGCATGAAGCGTGTTTTTCCGTTTGCCTCCCCGACTGAAGCGGTCCAGGATGGTGGCACTCGAGTTGTGCCTGGTTTCCACCGATGTTTTATGCCTTGGCTTCGAGCATTAGGCAGGAGAATTGGTTTTAAGATGAGACCATATAATAATATATAATGGCTAATTAATACTAATACTAATGACTATATAATGGATACTAATGGGATATTTTGATGACACGTCTCATCAACGCATGGTGACAGGTGACATGGAGAGCAATTTGGCACAAAGTGGCCAGCATGACAATTGGGTGCTGCGTAGGGCGGCTGGCGGTGGCAGCTTCAAATTCTCAAATTTGGATCGAATCCACCAATTGTCGAGGCCAGCACAGGTGGATAGGTGACAACTCTTCAATGTTTCATGGTTCCATGGATATCCATGGGTTCTTGATAGAACATGGTCGATTCTTTAAAGGACACGCCATTGTGCAATTAAGTAGACAAATAATCTAAACAGTTACAGCGGTGCACGGGCCTGCAAGTTCACTTGGAGTCGTCCCTTCTAGAGGCGGATTCCAATGAGGGCTGGCAGCTTCTTACTTTGGAATCAGCTTTTGGTACATGGGAGCTGTGCCAACAACAGTGCCAACTTCAGAATTGCCCAGTTCATTACGGGATTTCGCGCAGGCTTTGCTGCTGCGCTGAAAACAGAAGTCGTGGTAATGGTACAATTTGGGTTGGATCGTGCTTGATATTAATTTGGCAAGTGACTAGTGCATTGCATACTTCACTTCATTGAATGTATTTTGTATTGCAGTTCTTTCATGTTCTCTTCACCATCAGACCCCTGTTTTGCGATCCACAGGAGAAATGAGCCCCGGGCGCTCTTGGGCTCGCGCTGCTGCGGTGCAACGCCACAACAGCGGCTTGTTGTTGCGGCCACTGGCGCCGCATGTCTTCGGTGAAGCAAGGGGCACGGAGGGCACGGAGGGCACGGCCGGCCCAGCGGATGGGAGAAGCTTTGCTCGAAGCGAACGTGAGCATTTGGCCGTTGAGCAAGTGCTGCAAACCAGCAAAGGACATCCTGAAGCAATTCTCAAGGCTGGGTGGGGGGTCTGACTCCATCCTGCGCACAAGCGCATGTATTCTTGGTTTTTGGTTTTGCAATCTATACTCAAAACTAGTCGTAGTCCATTTGAGGCATTCGAAGACTTTCACGTGCAGTGATCCTTGGCTTGAATTCTAATGTTTCAAGCAAACTGCTTTGTCGTACGTAGTGTTTGGCAACAATTAGGCAAGCCGCTTCTACACGTTGGTCCAATGAAGGGCACATACTTGGATCATGCTGTGCAGCGGAGTTCACCCAGCTTGGTGCTCGAACTTGGAAGCTACCTTGGCTACTCCGCTGTCAGAGCCCTAGCCCCCCTAGCCAAATTGTGCAACAACCTTGAGATAGACTTGATCTCGTACATTCAGTCGCAAGTGCAAGAGCTTTCTCAAGACTCATAAATTCAGAGGGTGGGTGTGCTTGGGAGAGCACACACACTAGCTCAAAACCCTTAGAAAACACTGTAAATACCGTGCAAAATTTCAAAAACTGCTCTGAGAACTAGGCGAAACGCAATTTTTTGGATCTGTCTGTGTCTCCATGTCCAATGTCAATGACAACAAATAACAGCTCTTCGTCTGCCCACTATCAATGTGCAACACCAATGATAATATTATCAGGTAAATCTCTCTCTGCCCACAATGAATGTAGCATCATGAGCGAATGAAGATATAATACTATACATCTCTAGATTCAATAGCTTTCCTCTGGATCTCTGGGAAAGTAGATTTCCTAGATTTGTTTATTTTCATTGAAGGAAAGCATTTGAAAGAAACACTTACATACATACTTATAGCTTTTTTAAAATACCATGACTATTTCCAGAGATCCAGAGGAAAGCTTTTGAAATGAAAGCTCTATATTTTTTTCACAGAAGTGATCAGATCTAGAGGGAACCTTTTGAATTAGAAGTTTGTACATAAAGCAGTTTTAATATAGCAATGAATATTCCAAGGGATTACTTTAAACAAATACTATCTACTCAAAAACATAGTTTGTGTCTTATTCCCAGCACTCCTAGGGCAAAACACACTGTAAAATATAGGGTTTTGTAACATGTGTGTTCTTAAACTAACTAAACTGGAATTAAAATAGAATTAGGCAAAAAACTTAGTTTGTAAAAAATCTACAATTAATCTTAAACACATTTTTAATAGAAAGCTAATGATAAATCAACTTCCACCAATAATTCTGAAAGCGTTAAAACCAATAAACCCAAAAACCAAAAAAACAAAAAACCAAAAAAAACAATGTTTGAGACAAAATGGGGTCACTATTGGTTTTTGGATGTTGGCTGCATTTTGTGTCAAACATTGTTTTTTTTTGTTTTGTTTGGTTTTTTGTTTTTTTGGTTTATTGTTTTTTTTGGTTTTTTGGTTTATTGTTTTTTTGTTTTTTTTGTATTCCCTCTAAATTGGGATAGGCTTGGATCTCACAAAATTGCTCAAAAAATAGCTCAAAACCTCAATTTTGGAGAGGATTTTGCAAGAAATCACTGTAAAACACAGTGTTTTTGTATACTTTTTTGCATGAAAAACATCTCCCAGGAGCACCCGTTCTGTAAATTCATCATACGTGAAGATTGCTTCTGAAGAAGTGCAGTGTGCCTCAATGTGCAGTGTTCGAGCGACCATGTTGCGCCATCAGGTGCGCATCGCACGACTCTTGGACGAGCCTTGACTGAAGGTCGATCATTGGCCTTCTTGGCCATTCTGGCCCTTCACAGCGACGGGTCGTGACCCACCATAGCGAACGCCCTTCGTAGGGAAAATCCAAGGTATCCTGGTGCCATGACCCACCTATTTCTGACCTCCAATTTTGTTGCTGAGCGCAGAATGCGCCCAACATCGAGGAGGGCGCTCTTCTGTATACCATTGATGAGAATGCCGACAATGCTGCCCGGGCAGAAGCTGTTCTGAGGCCACCTCTCATTGGACAGGATATGCAAGCTCAAGTCAGAACAGTTGTGGTAAGTGATATTCCCTTTCTGATAGGATGTCAGATATCCTTTGATCCTCTTGTGTTGGTGGAAATCTTGCCTTTATGCTGTTTCAGGCATGCTGGGCTTTCCAATGCTGTCGTATTGCATGGAACACTTGAAGGCCTCCAGCGGCGCTTCCGCAGATAGTGCTGTTTTGCTTTCCGCACTTGGTGTGGGCAGGTGCAGTGCTGGCGCAGTGCTGTTGATTGTAGAATCATGCAACGTCCAACCTCACAGCCCTGAATCTTTTCTCAATAGACTATAGACATCTATAGTCTATAGACACAATACGGTGGCACAACAGGGCATCAACAGGGCCCAGTCACGAGGGATCGCGTTCGTGATGTCAAATGTTCGCTTCAGTCAATCCATCAGTTCCTTCCTTCGCATTGTTGCCGTTTCGCGTTTTGCGATCGAGGTCGCAGCTGCCACGGCCGGTGGATTTGGTCTTCCTGGACCACAGCAAGGCCTTGTACTTGGAGGAGATCCATCGTTTGGAGGACAGTTTTGACGCAGCCTGTGGAGAGTGTAGGCGTTTGGCAGATTCAAGGGAATTGGATGGAATCCTGTAATAACAAACATCCGCTTTGATAGAGAAATAGATGGTCCCTAAATTGGTGGTCAATGAAAGAATAAGACAAACTGTCATTGCAGAAATGGCGGAAACGAGTTCTTCGTTTTGACCCATGCCAGCATGTTGTCGTCCTGGGAGTGTAGCTGATCAGGAATGGGGCTTCATCAAGCCCGGAACCACAGTGGTTGCGGACAACATTGGAGGGTGCAGTAGAGCTGACTGCCGCAGGGACCTTAGGCAAACAGAGCTCGAGTAGCTAGCAAGCCACATTGTTTGGGCATCAGGAAGCGAATCATTTGATGGTCCCTTGAAGAGGCAGCTCTGAGTTTAAATAAAGACATTTACCTCAAACATCGTGCGAACGGTCCGGGTAGGCAAATTTAGAATCCAGCAGCTAGCGCGGGTGGAGAATGCTTATAACTTTTATGGTTTCCTTGCACGGTTTGACGTGATATGCAATCTTTCGGATTTGCTTTGGGCTGGAGGTCGTATAAATTGCGGCTGCGCATACGCCCACTATGTTCGCGACGGTGGTCGCTACTCCTCGGAATTCTTCTGGGGCTCTCGCGACACCTGGCTACAGTTTGCTCCTATAATATATATAATTCTTTTTGTATTTTGTAGAGCAATGGACAGATGATGTCAGGCCCAATACTAGTAGCCTTTTGGATCCTTTTGGTTTGTTTTCTTTTTATTAAGAGCTAGAGACGAAAACATATACTCTTATATACTGTAATGCGGTACTTCTATAGTAGTTTCTATATTGAATATACTAATTTACATCTATTTACAGTAATTCATTTACTTAATCAAATTGTCTTTCAGGATGGAATCGAACTATCAGTGGCCAGCGAAAGTCCACGGGATATGTTCCAAAAGGCCAGGCACGGAAGTTCCACATGTGCCCACAGGAGCAGCTAATGAATAGGAATGTGAATAAGTGGGGCAAGTGAGTTATATAAGAGAGGGACTCTGATGATTTTGAATCAATTGAATCAATTGAGTGTCTGCAATTCTCTCTTTTTCTTTCCTCCCATTTCATCCTTGCTCTATTTCTTCTCCCTCCGTCTGCTCTTCTCTACATCTCCCTGTTTTGTGTCTCTTTCCGTCTCCTGCGGACTCCTGCGCGCTGGGATCCACCAGGCATCTTCGGACGGCTGCCGGACAGACGCTCTGAGCGGGTGCGAAGCTGGAACTTGGGAGCTGCACTACCTGCTGAGAAGCCGGCCTCAATTGATCTGAGAGCAAAGTTGAGGGCTTCCCCAACTCCAAGGCTTTCACATTAGTATCGAACAATTTGTCCTGAAATGCTTCGACCATCTTTGGCATAGTCTGTATAATGAACATGATCTATTTTGATCTGTTTTGAGACCTACTTAGGAAACCATTTGGCTCTCTAGGGCAGAAGTCAACTTTCACTCAGGACTGGGCTTGCCACTTTGTGGCCGAGAGCAGCACTCTGTAGCCCAGAGCAGTGTTCAGCGGGAAAAGAGTTGAGGTTTTGTTTGCCCGTTTTGTTTTTGCACTTCGCTGCTCAAGGAACAGTCTGCATGTGTTCTGTAGGTGTTTTTGAGTGAGAAAGTCAAGTTCTCCGGTCCAGCACAATACTTTCAGTTCAGTGCTGAGTCCTGGGTCCTAGGACTCATGTGTTGGGCCCTATGTGGTCGACCTGGCTGTGTGTGCAAGTGCTTGCTGCTTCACCGCCGGAGCCTCGCTTACCGAAGCCTCGGTTTCGCCGGAGTTTTTTAGGCGACGAGACGTGACCGAGGCGGCCAATGTGATCATGAAGCCTCGGCTTCTGGTTGGGAGCTCGAGGTACGTGCGTGGTTGGCTCCTTCATTTGTGGAATGCGCCCAGGTCTTGTTGAAGGAATACTTCAGGCCTGGGCGGCCTGAGTTTGAAGTCTTTGGTTGTCAGCTTACCATACACATTCGCATACATTTGACATTTGTGCGTACTGTCCAAAACTCTGCTTCTGGTCATTCTGCGACAGCCATTGACAGCTCCTCAAGGCATCGGAAACTGACACCGCTCGAGTCAGAGTTTGTGCCTCAGTGAACGCAGTCTTTCAATATGTTTCAATGATTGCTGGTATGATGGTTTCAAGTGCGCTCCTGGCCCAAAAGCAGTGTTTCTATTTTAAAGAATGTAATAAGACTATAATTATCAAATTCAAGATATTTCAAGGGCCCTTTTCCTCCTATATGTGGTGTCAGGACGCACGGTTTGAGTTGCTGGCATTTTGTCATTCATTTTTTGCTGGCTTTCAAGCACTGACCGAGTACATAAGCAGCTGTCATGTCTGAAGCACACCTACTACATCGTACTACTATGCCGAGCGATTTGGCAACCATCTCGTTTTTGAACATTTGCTTCCAGGATGACTTGACTATGATGAAGACTAAGGAAGTTTGTAGACTTCATGGCAGCCGGTGCTTTGGCTTGTGGCTTTTACCGTTTCTGCGAGCCACTTTGCAGAAAGTTCATGACTGGGGGGCATTGATGTGTGTGGACTTGCTCGATTCTGAGACAAATTTGTTGCCATCATTCTAGAAGTCTTGCTAGAGTGTGCTTCTTTTCAACATGCAAGGTTCAACGTGCGTCAGAAAGATGCTGACGCAAAGGCAGGTCAGCTGGTGATTGTTGCAAAACATGTCTCACATTGTCAGCGTAATGCAGATTGTAATGACTGCCCTTTGAAGATTGGCCAAGTCTGACCTTATCACAGGAAAACGGTGAACCATGATGTATCATAAATGTCTTTGCTCCCTCACACCGTGGTAGCATCTACTCATATTATCCACTCAGCACCAAAGAAAACATTCGACATGGACAAAGAGATGAACACAGAGTGCCAAATCCTTTTCTGGCACGCATCTTCGCCGCGCGCAAACCGCCAACGCCTGCGTGTGATGCCACGACGCCACACGTAGGCGAAAGAGAGTTATCGCCTCATGGCCGAGAGAGCTGAGCAACTCTTGGAGGGCCCAACGCGCGAGGCGAGGCGAGTTGATGCCGGATCGACCGCCTTCGAGACCTCCGTTGCCGGGCCAGGAGGTGATTTCGGTCTTACGAGAAGCTGTTGACGCACAGTGAGACCGACAAAAGAGATCCAGAGGAGTCTCAGTGGAGTGTTGTGTATTGCCTAGACAGGTTTGAAATTGTTGGGAATGTTGCACAAACTCAATTACTGATGGGTGAATCTGAAAGAACATGTGGGTTTTGTATGGTTTTGTGCTCACGGCAACTTCCCGTGCAGCGAGGTTGCAGAGGTTGCCAAGTAAATGCAGCCGATTCCAAGCATACCACATTGCAGTGCAAGCCTTTTGAGCAATATGTGTATACTGTATATATATATATATTTATACACATATACAAAGACATACTTGTATCAATTCTATTTTAGCAGCAACTCCCCCGCGTTCGCTGCAATTGAACCACAGCAACCCTGCTCGTTTGCACCTTTGGTGGCACAAGCGCCTTGAGCGTTGTACTTTTACAGTAGGTCTTACATGCTTTGAGCGTTGAAGCCAGGTGCTGAGATTGATATGCAGACGATGGTGCGAGTACGGGTATTGTAAAGAAGCACATCACGGGTCCATAATTCTATGCTACAGTTGTAGAACAAATAAATAGGATACATAAGATATGTCGAAGCTACGGATAGAAGTCAATTTACCCAATCCCGCAATCCCTGCTTGAGTTGACCTTAGGTCTGCCATAGGCAGCAGCTCTCTCCATTCATGAGGACACTGGCAGAATTGCCGGTTTAATCCCAACGGGCGAAATTTCGGTTTTCGGGGCATGCTTTGTGACGGCTGCTATGTTTGTTGGATACTGGTTCAATTTTGAATGTGGTGAGATCAGAAATCTATGACACACCATGTTGACCAAAGAAAAAGGCAGAACAGGGCTGCCAACAAGTGCTACTGACTATGACTATACTATACAATATTTTTTTTTTGCAGGGCAGAGCATGTTTTGATCCCATCTCGATCTCACCTACCTCTTGTTTGGAACGGAGGACAGTCCTATGCAACGAATTGAAACAAGATATTGACAAGGCTTCCCAATTGCACACCGAAGCTACGAAGACACTTTTCCGCGAAGCTACGAACTCCAAACGAACCCACACAAATGTTTTTTATAAACACCAAAGACAATGTCCCCCTGCACTAACAGACTGAATAGATGTGCAGCCTGCTCAGAGCTTGCTCTGTTTGCAGGCAGAGTTGCTCATGGAAACCCACGATTTTCCGAGATACCCACCGAGTTTGGGCTGACTGTCCCTATCAATCGACCCTTTGTCCTTCGTCCGCAACTCTTGGTGGACGAATCAACTCCCGCTAAAACGGCAGATTCCAATCTACTAGGAGCAAGGACTACTAGGGGCTCCTGGCATCGCTACTAGGAGCAAGGACGCTACTAGGGGCTCCTGGCTTGTTCATTCCAGGATAAAATGGCACAGTTTGGCCATGCTGCTGGCTGCCATTGCCCTCCAACTGCAAGGATGTGATGACGAGGAGACGGGTGCTTTTGTTTGTTTTTACGAGAACGATGTTGAAACACCTAGAGACCGGCATTGCCAACACTCCTGTTTCGATTCAGGACAGCGAAGATGAAGACAAGGAGACCTCCAGCGAGATGGCTGCTTCTTCAGATCTACTTTATAATTAGGCATAACATGTTCAAACAACGGTCGCACGTCCTGTCACAACGCGCCCCTGAAGATGTTTGGGCCAATATAGGGCTTCTACAGTGGCTTCTACATGAAAGAGTGGTTGTTCATTGATACTGTACTTGCAGGGGTTTTCTATATAATATAGTCATGTCATGTCAGGTCGCTTTTCATTGGTCAAACACTGCATAAACACATGGTTTTCATGGGCAGCCCGTTTTCAGTGTCTTTCAACGGGTCAAACGCCAACATGGCAAGCATATGGTAATTCTATGCAATTCCCACACAAAGATGTCGCACTTGACATCAGCACATGTGATCGCGGGGACGGCATGATCGACATGCAAAAACGACGTAAAGGGTATGGCACTTGATGCCGTTGTCACCCTCCCCAAAAGGAATGAATTTTGTGTAGCAGGCACACCAAAAAGCACAATCAATATTCCAGCCTGTTTCGTTTCATCCAGTTAGCTAGCTTCATTACATAGCGTGGGAGCCTCAAACAAACTTTGTGTCCCACTGCAATTCCGAGCCGGCTTGGAATCCATCATCATGCTGGTCACTTGACGTCACAAACTTTGCACCCTCTTGCGACATTCTGACATTCGCTAGGAGAAGCCAGGACCTGAAGAAGGACGGAATCCTCCCTCCCCCAAAAAAAAAATATATACAATATACTGTAGATTCTGTAAGTGGACTTGAATGTGTGAGTTCAAAGGCTTGAAGGACGTTTCCCATGACATGCAAAGACCTTATAGTTGTAAGCCCAGGCATGCATTGCTATCAGCGAGGACAAAGCTCATCCAATTCCACAAACGACACGGCTCAGGCTGGGGTGGAGAGTTCAAAATACAGCATTTAGGTCGTCATGCATAGCAACTTATTTTCTGTCTTCGTCAGACTCGTGCCGCTGAGGAGCCCGTTTGGATTGGAGAGCACCAAGTTTCCCATTCCTATGGAGGCGTGTATAGCTAGTATGTTACATATCATTACATAGCTATTATATCTGTACAATTCGTGCCAAGACTTATCTTCTGAAGGCCCACCGGCCAATCTTGGCCGCTTCGACTCTAAGAAGGGAGGCAAAGTCGAGCATGATCCACTCCCAGGGAAGGGAAACCATTTGACACTTGGAAGCAAAGCTCACCATGATATTGATTTGAAGCTCATGAAAACAAGGAATGGTGAAGCTTATGATATCATGGTATATCATGATGAGTCTATTCGAGGTATTCTGAGCATTGTGATGCATTGCATTTGTATCTCTAGCACTCGCACAGATTGTGGCTTTTAGTTTGAGGCAGAGATCAGTGTGACTTGACTCGCCACGCGGGCCAATGAACCCATGGTACTCAGGCTGGAAGCACAGAGATCTTATGAACGGGCTCTTTATGCAGGTACTGGTGCAGAACAGCAGGTGAGGATTGGAAGTGTTTGGTCTTTTTGTTACTTGCGCTGATGTGGTCATAGCGTTTCATATTGACATCAAGGTCCGGCACCTGGAGAAGGAAAAACACTTGGAAGACCACTTTGCAAGCAATCCAACCCCTACTTCGACCACTGCGCCGACGAAAGATGGTGACAGCAATGAAACATCGACGGAAGACGTGTTCAGCAATGAGTCGACGGAGAGCGACAACGTGACCAGGCAGCATTTAATAGCCAGTGAGGCACAATTTTCAAGGCTGCTGTCCACTTCTTGAATTTGTTCTATGTTCTGTTTTCTTCTGCCAAAATGAGCATCTTCAAGAGTTTACGGGCACTGAGGACACGAACCTTACCGATGAGTCGGAAGCTGCTGGAGACCGCCTTGCAGCAAAAGTGCCTAGGATGACTGAGCTCCAGGGAAGTCGAGAGGAATCTAAGTCGAGAGTTCTTTCATGTTTTCAAAAGAGAAGAACAAAGATGAAGGTGTTTGGGACTCCTTGCACGCCCTTACCTTATTGTTTTCTTCATTTTTCTTCTCTCCGCAGGAACAGTTTTGAGGTTGTGGTTGTTGTTATGGTGGTGGTGGTCGTCGTGGTGGTCGTCGTCGTCGTCGTCGGTAGAAACAATACAGCCGCCCAGCATAATTGTCACATGTTGTATCATGTTGTAACGTTTGAACTTCAAGGGGACACGGTTAGGGATACGGTTAAAGGTTTGAGCGAATGTTGGTTTCGTAGGTAGGTGGACTTGTTGGACTTGTTTCCTGGGCTGCTCCGCTTTTAGTGTCTTTGAGGTGTTGTTCTGGAGGGGGGGGTCCAAAAAGCAACAACGGGGCTGCTGTCTTTGTTTCTAGGAGGTAGAGACAACAACACCTTTTGAGGGGGGTCCAAAGAACAACAGCTGCAGTTTTGTCTCTAGGATGTGGTAGAGATTGTAAGTAGATGTTTTACAGAGGCTTAGCTGACCGGTTCTGCTACTACGACTACTACTACTACTACCACTACCGCTACCACTACCACTACCACAACAACAACAACTACTACTACTACTACGACTACCACTACCACTACAACAACAACAACTACTACAACAAAAACAACTACTACTACTACTTCATACTACTACTTACTACTACCACTACTACCACTACTACCACTACCACTACTACTACTACTACTACTACTACTACTACTACTCGTACTAGTACTACTAGTACTACTAGTACTAGTACTTACTAGTACTACTACTACGTACTAGTACTAGTACTAGTACTAGTACTAGTACTACTACTACTACTACTAGTACTACTACTACTACTACTACTACTACTACTACTACCAGTACTACTACTACTACTACTACTACTACTACTACTTACTACTTACTACTTACTACTTACTACTTACTACTTACTCCTTACTCCTTACTGCTTACTGCTTACTACTTACCACTTACCACTTACCACTTACCACTTACTACTTACTACTTACTACTTACTACTACTTACTACTTACTACTTACTACTACTTACTACTTACTACTTACTACTTACTACTACTTACTACTTACTACTACTTACTACTACTACTACTACTACTACTACTACTACTACGGCTACTACTACTACAACTGCTACTACTACTAACCACTAACTACAAACTACTAACTACGAACTACTAACTACTAACTACGAACTACGAACTACGAACTACTACTACTACTGCTACTACTACTTATACTTACTACTACTACTTACCACTACTACTTACTACTACTTACTACTACTTACTACTACTTACTACTACTTACTACTATTAACTACTACTAACTACTACTTACTACTACTTACTACTACTTTCTACTACTTACTACTACTACTACTACTACTACTACTACTACTACTACTACTACTACTACTACTACTTACTACTACTACTACGGCTACTACTACGGCTACTACTACGGCTACTACTACCTACTACTACTTACT